CAATGGCCCATGCCCCACTTATATCCTGGCCCACCTAACCCCCCCCATGCTTTCCTCTTCAAGCCCCGAGGTCAGGTGGAGAAGTTTCGTGTCCAGCGCTCAGTTGCTTGTAGGCAGTCTGAGCAGGTATCTGGACGAGAGAAGCGTTTACAATTCTGTGCCCTTTCATTGACATTTCTATTTGTCTGTCACAAATACAAGGAACCCCTACCTGCACAGACTCGTGCTAACTACGAAAAGGCTCGGCACAATGCCGTGAATTTCTAGCTCCGCCGTACTTGATTACCGGCTTGGAATGAGCACCCGGGCACGTGCCGGAATATGTCCATGCCAGGATGCCAGGCTTAAACTGGGCACTGTCGGGAGATTTTAGAAATGGCACAGGTCCGAGCGAGATGCAACCGGGCGGAACAGTGCCGGACGTTCTGGGATTCTCCCGCGCTTCCTCCACGATCTCTTCCGGGGCCTCTTCCGACGCCTCGGTCTTGGTGCATCTATGTTCTTTTGTTGAGGAAATTATGATGCGACGGCGACATGGTACTCATATTGCCATATCTTCTATTCACATGCATGAGTGGAGTTGTTGTCGTCGCTTCTCGACCCATGCCTGAGAGTCATCCTGCCGCTGCAGCTGATACTTTCGGCATAGCTAACGTGTTGCAGTTGCCTTTACTAGTTCTTCTTCAAACGTTGGAACCATTGCAGCAAGCACCAGCACCATTTCTGGTAGCTGGTAACACATGGTAGCATGACACTTTCTGGCAAAGTGGCCCTTCATGTCATGTGTTCTGGTGCTCTACTTTGTTCTGGCTTCCTGTGGCTGCTAAGCGGGACAGTTGCGCGAGTATCTACTGATACGAAGAGAGAATACAGTTTACTACTGCCTCTAGCTAAGGTTAGTATTAGTGATATGAATGTATCGATTTGATTCGTAGCAGTACTAATAGTTAGTAGCAACAGCAGCAGCAGTAGTAGCAAAGTAGTAGACGCGGTAGCAACAGCAGCAGCAGCAGCAGCAGCTGCAGCAGGAGTAGGAGTAGGATTAGCAGTAGCCTTAGCAGTAGTGGCAGTGGGAGTAGGGGTAGGAGTAGCAGTAGTAGTAATTAGTGGTCGTCGTCGTCGTAGTAGTAGTAGTGGTGGTGGTGGTGGTGGTAGTGGGAGTGGTAGCGGTAGTGGTAGTGGTAGTGGGACTGCGCTGCTGCTGCTACTACGACGAATACGGCTACCACCGCCACTGCTACTACTAGGACGACTACTACCATCACTAGCTACAGCTACAACTACACCTGCCCCAAAGCTACCGCTACCACCACCACCGTACTCGCCGCAACCACAACCACTACGGCTTCAACGACCACTGCTGCTGCCACGAAGACGACGACTACTCCGATTTCTTCGGGACGCAACAAGAAAGCAACTCCAACATCGGAACACTTGTCCTGCTTACTTGTTCGTTCTAGCCCCACCAGGTAAGCTGCTTCTGGCGCCGCATCTGACCTGGGTGAAGGGCCGAGGAGTATTGCCGAAGCAGCGCATGCGACCGAAGCCAAGCCATGTTAATTTTGACATCGCATGTATGACACCGTATGACTCGAGATTTGTCTCATGTATCCATTAGACTGAAAGACTCATCCATACAATCCCACCCTCAACTGATCAAGAAACGCCGCTCAAACCGCCAGACTGATGTCGAATTGAAAACCTGCTCCCAGTACCACTCGGACACCGCAGGGCCCCCACACACCCCGCACCGCCAACAGAATCAATGGAGTGGGGGGGGAAGGGGGAAGAGTTCAACAATCATCTTGGCATCATCTTGTCTAACTTACCTAACTGGATATGGAAGCTGACTCTAGCTTCTGAAAGTGCGGCCTTGTCTATGAAATCCTGAAGCCCTAAACCCCAAAGCACCTGGTGTGAGATAGGAAGGGTGGAAAGGCGACTGCGCTCGGTGAGGAAAGGCAGGGGTCTCTATAAAACTCAATGCAGCGGCATGATACTACGTATGGGAGAAGCTGCTCCGAGAATAACGGCTACCGTTGCTGCTTCTCGTGCTTCATGCGCAGCAGATCGTTGTCCTCTTTCAGTACTTCAACCGTCTCAGATCGAAACTGCAGCCAAGCTGCTCTCCTCCTTTCTTCAGGTGGGCATACTCCGGCATGTTCTGCCAGCCCAAAGGCCTCAAGGCGGATAGATTCTAAGAGCTGCCGACCTCCGCTAGGTAGGCTGCATTGCCGGAACTGGCAAGGGTACTTCGATGCGCAAGCTTGCCTTTGTCGTGAAAGAATCTGGGGCCATGTTGCAGAGTCGCAAGCCTACTTCAGAAGATCTTTTTTCTTTCCCATAACGCAAGGCTGCGAAATGCTCCGGGAATGTGATGCTGCCAGTCATAGCAGGACTCACGCTGGAAGCTGTAGGACCTGTGCTGCGCAGCCAGTCGCAGGGCAATTGCGGACAGTTCGAGTGCTTCAGACACGAATTCCATCAAGGGCCCGGAACCTTCTGATAAAACATGGTGAGTTTGACATGAGAGGAAGATGCCATGCTTCAAAATGTCTGACGGCGGCATAAAAACCACTGAGTCGACCCGCCTACTCCCATCAAAGGTAGTTTAAGTCAGACCACAAGACAGAGCGCACACCATGTGCATGACAGGTCAGGTTTTCCCCGTCAGCACTTGGTTTCCAGAACCATGGCAGTGAGTACGATTGCTACTGTGGCTTTCCTCGAAGCGCAGCTGCTGCAAGAGGGCCTGTGTTATACGTAAACTCAGCCAGTCTACGCATGAGAGCTGTTACTGTACTGTGCCACGACACTCGCTCATCGTCGCGACTGCTTCGGCTAGCCGTGTTCTTACAAGGCCATGACGTGCTTGGAGACTCCGGAGCACTTCAATGGACACCACTACCTATACCTTCGGTCTGAAATGCCCTTCCCGCTGCATCAAACACCCCGAAGCCCTCGCGACCCTATACCCTACACCCTGAATGTTAAGCCGTATTGCGACATGTCAGCAGGCAAGGTCGCAGCACTTTCCGCGCCTGGCGTCCTGTTTACAGGTCATCCACGAGGAGCATGGGCTGTACAAAGAACGGAGTGTTCAACGGGTATTCCGAAACATCTCTTCAGATGAAGTTGTCGGGCCTGCAGCCTAAGTCGCTGCAGCAAACAGAAAACATGGTGGCCAGGATCCTGTGCCTGGTGAGTCCTTGGAGTCAGCCGCACCACTGGGCATATCCGAAAGCAGACTGGCGCAAATCTGATAAACACGACAAAGGCTGATGACTTCTTCTTTCGGAATGAGTTCTCTCTTGTTTGTAGGATCTTGTGCTTCATCGTTGACTGTTGTGACTGTTGCTCTTATTGGTTTCTGGATCTATCTGCTCTAGTGATTCAAGTGCAGTGGTGGTGGTGGGGGGGGTGGCAGTTCGGAGTGGCAGTAGAGTGAGGAGTGGAGTGGAGTGAGTATGAGTGAGTGAGTGAGTCAGTGAGTGTGTGTTGGTTTGTTGGCTTGTTGGTCGGTCGGTTGGTTGGTTGGTTGGTTGGCTGGCTGGCTGGCTAGGTGGTCGGTTGGTTGATCGGTCGGTTGGTTGGCTGGGTGGTTGGCTGGTTGGTTGCTGGCTGGCTGGCTGGCTGGCTAGGTGGGTGGTTGGTTGGTTGGTTGGTTGGCTGGGTGTTTGGTTGGTTGCTTGCTTGCTTGCTTGCTTGCTTGCTTGCGTGCTTGTAAGGGGGGGAAAGCGGCGGGAGATGGCAGTACCTGTTCGTGCTTGCTGCTGGTCGCTCTTGGCATCTTGCCTTTTCCTCTGCTTCTTATTTCGTACTTGACTGCTCTTGCTGCTGCTTTTGCCTTCCATTTGTTTGCAGCTCCGCTGACGGGTTTAGTCTTTGGTTGCTGCCGAATACACCGAAGCCATCAGACTTGGATAGCATAAACGATCACGCTCCCAGGCTCCAGCCTCCAGCCAGATCCCAGGCACGGAGCCCCGAGGCTCCGCAAACAAACGCAACAGGACACATGGACAGCTGGGAATCGCCAGCTGAAAAAACTTGTGCAGTGATCATCACTTGCACGGATGCCTATGCACCACTGCCCAATTGCCGAAAATCATCGATTTCCCGAAGTTCCGAAGGCAGGATAAGTGCCACTAGCAAATGAAGCAGGGTCGATAGCTTGGGGGTAGCAGCAAAAGCTCAACGTTGTCCTTCCTGAATAAAGACCCCACTTCCTTCTGTGCAAACTGGCATTGTGCACGTATAAGCCGCTGTGTTTCCCACGCAGAACCAACAGCAACCCGATCGCCGCTCATCTATGGTAGGTTTAGTGAAGAGGGAAAACCTCATCTTGCCTTGCTCACCATGTATTCTCCTACTCCGATGAGTGACGATGGTTTCCTCTTGGTTCGTATAGCCGCGGGGCTCACAGGTGCACAATAATTGACTCGCATTTTAACAAGGAGCTATCTATGGGACCAGAATCAGGGAGCGACAATGACAGATCATCCTCCGCTAAACTTCTACGCTGGAGGCTCTCCATGTGCTCGTTCGCTTGTTCCAGCCTGGCACATTGAGTTGATGCTTTAGATCTGTAATGTTCGTTGCACGCGGTAAGTCACACAATCGAAAGCCGGACCGTGAATTCTGTTGAATAGTTTGCTTCAATTCATGTAATCAAGCATCGCCAGATATTAACTTGCCCTGGTTGCCAACCGACAGCGATGAGGACGACAACATCTGCTGATAGACGGCCACATGTTCATCGAATCTAGAATCTAGAGAACGCGAGGCAAAAGAAGACCGGCCGCAAAGACCAACATGATAACTGCGTCGACTGCTAGCTGTGCGACGGGTGCAGTAAAACCCGCAAACCCTGTAGAGATGGCATTGGCTGTGTCCGTGTCGACAAACCTCAAGAGTGTTCGTGCTTCCGAGGGCATCACCGAGACGCCCAAGGCTAGGTAATCTGTAGCACTAGACTTGGCATCAGTTCAAGGGCCACGGGCCTGTGGTCTCGAAGTGCCCTGCTCTTCTTGATGTCCTCCTCAAACGCATCAGGGTCTTCCTCCATCTTTTGCAGGAACTCCTGTGTAAGCTTTGGCCCCGGCCCCCAGAGGCCCCAAGCGGAATAGGGCTTCGGAGTATCTTGTACGACAGGGGCAGAACCGAAACTGAAGCCCTGGCTACTGCGCCACAGATGGGTCCTGCAAGTAGGCCTCGTGCCAACGCCCCTTCCCAGCCGACGGTTGCACCTGACTACTGCCGAAGTAGGGCGCTCGAGAACATGATGTGGCGTTGGGTCAGGGGACTTGCAACTTGCTTCAGCACACGTATGGATTTACGGCTGGCCAGAAGCGTGGAGAACCGAACTGGGCTTGGGAACGAAGGCCCTCCGAAAGGTATACGTTGGTCTGAAATGGTCTGAACTTATGGCAAGGCCCGCAACTTCACATGCCATGCCATGGCCATGGCCCCACCTTCAAGGCGGCATCGGCATTCGGCGACTGTCTCTGGATGCCTCCCCGTGGCTCTTGGAAAAGAGATTGGGCGGTCTAGGACCACGAGTCTCGGAGCGATGGTCTCAATGTGTTCACAGATCCCTTCCTGCCGCCACTGCCACTGGCAATCCCTTCTTCCTACGAACCTCAACAGAGCTGAAGCTGGGCCTGATCTTTGCAGAGTCCTCGCTACATTTGGCAAAAGTTTGCCATGGCCTCTCCTAAGGTAGCGACTACAGCACCACCGGAACCAGTCGGAAGCAGGGATAAACATGCCATTCTGCAAATGCGGTCACATCGCCCCACACCAAACAGCTCGGCATCTGCGAGGCCTACCGCTACTCCGACTCCCACTCCGACCCTACTCGTGCTCCTACTGTCCTCTTTTCTAGTACTGACCTGCTGTCCTACAGCTACTCGTACTACCACTCTTCCTCCTCCCGCCACCACCACCACCGCGACGCCGATTTCTACTATCCTGCATACGGCATCTCCTGCATCTGGTCAATTATGACTTGTACAACTTCGCGCCTGCAGCTGATGCCAGAAAGCCAGTGGAAGATTTGCCGCCTCCCTTCTTTGCAGACGTCTGCGAGGACGCAGCAGTGGACGCAGTTGCAGTAGTTCTTGGTGAATTGTCGTTCGTGCCCGTGGCCTGGCAAGCACAGCCGGATACAGTGCAGGTTTTGGCGTCACGGTGTGTAGGATTTTGGGGTTGTGTTTGTTCTTCTAGAAGTATACACACCGAGACAGAGAGAGAGAGAGAGAGGGAGAGAGAGAGAGATAGAGAGAAAGAGAGAGAGAGAGACAGACAGAGAAAGAGAGAGTATCGATGTGAGTGTGTGACTACAAGGGTTAGCTGAATAGCTCGAGGCCAGTGGACTGTTCGATGTGCCTTCGCATCGCGGCGCAGCAGGGGCAACTTGAGGTTCACCATGATGCCATGTGCATCCGTGCGAACCGCTGAGCCAAAAGGAAGCGGACCAATAACCCCCTTCTTCAACTCAATCCACGAAGTGGTACCGCTTGGGCTCTTGACCCCAAGACCAGCTCAAGTCCCGACGATCCGAAGGCCCGATATGCAACCCCAAAAACCCAACCATTATGCTTGCTTAGAAAAGTCGTTTCTGCAAATCTTCCTAGACCTTGCGAACAATCGACGGCAAAGCGCAAGCTTAATTCTCTCGCGTGGATAAACCATAAAGCAATTGTTAAGACGCCAAAGGTGGCCGAGATGCAGAGATGTCTGAAAGCCAGATCGACGCAGTAGAAGCGAGCGAACCTCCTTGCAGCTAACAGGATCCTTAGCAGGAAGACCCCCAAAATAAGGCAACCCTAAGCTGTCGACCGTTTCTGAACAGTATTGGGGCTGCTTGTACACTGACCTAAGCCTTCACCCTCCGGCACATGACGCTTTGTCCCCGCCATGAAAGTATTCAGCCGGGGATTGGTTCTGGTTTCTAACTTCTGGGCGTGCATGAGAATGATGTGCAGCTCGGGATGTTCACCGCTGGGAATGCTCTGCACTCGCCACCCTCAGATGATGGCATCCACCTCCTTTTTAAGCGGCATAAGGACTCCAGAGCCTCAGAAACAAACGAAACAACACCCGCAGCCTGAACTCACCGAGGTGCGACTGCATGTCGGAGCTAGCAAGATATCAAAGCCTAGCTTTGTGACTGCTAGGCTTTCCAGCCTGTTCGCAAAGTCCCCGGACACAGCTATTGTTTTTGTGCTGGTGATGCGTCTGCTGTTTTCAAGCACTGGAAACCGACAGCATCTAAAGCAACACCAACGACAATCACAGCCACCACCACAAACACAAGAACAACGAACACAACAATAACAACAGTGACGACAACAAAGGCAGGATTAGCAACACAACCAAGAAAAGCAATTACAAACAGATGACAACAACTGTGTCGGCCACAGCCAGAAATACTGTCCAAAGCTACCACAACAAGAAAAGGCTTGCGATCATGATGGCCAGCCGACATGACCATGATGCTAATGACAAAGAATGTCCCCAGTACGTACTCATTCAGTGGCCTGGCTGTAAAGATGAATAGAACATGTACATAGAAGCTTGACAGCATAGGTGTGTGTGTATATATATATATATACATATGTGCCTGTCTATGTGTATTATGTGCGTATATGTGATAGCGGTGTATGTGTGCGTATGTACATATATATATATATACACATACAGTCAGACGCAAAAAATATCCACTATACATGTGTATATACATATATACTTGCACACACACACACATACATACACATATAAATTTTATCATATGCCTCTATATATATATATATATAGATACACAGAGACATATATTATTTATATTAGAGTTTCGGATCTCGGGCCAATTGGGGGCCAGCTCGGAGACCAATACGAAGCTCCAAAGCGGCCTCGGGTCTTAGGCCTCCCGAGATGCCGAAGGTTCAGGCTTAGGGTTTCGGATTGAAGATTTAGGATTTGGGGGTTTTGGGGGTTTAGGGGTTTTGGGGTTGAGGAGTCTAGTGTTTTAAGGGTTAGGGGTTTAGAAGTTTAGTGTTTCAGGGTCTGGGGGTTTAGGGGTTTAGGGTTTAGAGGTTTAGTGGTTTGGGGTTTATCATAGGGATTTAGGACCCTAAACCATCAAAGTGCTACGTCCCACACGTCCCAAAAGATCCGTACAACCCGAGGCGTCCTGTCTTGGGCGCTTCAGCGCTGCCATGAGTGCCACAAGTAAGGGGCTGCATGTTTTGGGCTTTTCTTGCAGGTTTGGCGAGTCGTGCACTTCCTCCTTTCGGGTTTTACATGTAAGAGGGGTTGTAGACCGATCAGGGTTTAGGTTGGGATCAGAGGACTTAGCGACTTAGCATGTGCAGTCTATGAAAGGCTTGTTAGTCTCTGAGTTGGCAGGACCCCTTTACTAAGCCACTAAGGAGATCACTTAGCTATTCAACATCACCATTTTTTGCTCGTCCTCAGAAGTTTGAGCCAAGCTGGCAGGGCACCTGCCTAGCTGCAGCCGTCGGTGTTGAGTTTCATGAGCCAAGGATTCCCCAGAGCATTGCAGCATCGTTTCGCACCAACTCTTCTGGAACTTTGAGGTCAGCACGGCACTTCGGCGTAGACGTCCTGCGCAGGGTTCAGAATACAAGGCACCATCTGCACTCGCGATTCGCCTTCCTGCCGGGGGATATCTGCCACTAAAGCCACTGCAAACCGATAGCAATGCCTGCAGGATCTTCCGTGCAAAGCGTGGTAGGACGTAGGGATTAGAAGGAAGTGGTTGAGAGGCGGCTAGGTCTCTAGGTCTGCCGACTGTAGCCTCGGAGCTTGTGGCCCCAGATGATTCTGTCCGGCTCTCCATAATTACTCGATGTGAGGATGGTACAAGAGCCACCACTCTACTACAAACATGAGATTTTACTGTAATATACCGAATATACCCCTACACTCTATTCTAGTTAATCAGCTGTGCGAAGGGAAGGCCTTGATCGGCTTGGCATACGGTGCTCCAGGGGCGTTCGGCGGCAGGTGCTGGGGGCGCACGAATCGGTTGATGCGCACGCCTGGCAGGGTTTAGGATTTAATTAGGGTTTAGGTGCATCTGATATGGAAATCCTTCGCTGACTTCAGCAGGTTGGACAGCTGCATCCCAGCTGGAGTAGTGTTCTGTTGGTCTGACACAATGAAGCAGATCCCAAAAGGGTCCATTCTGTCGGACTTTGGTAGATTTCGGCAAAAGTGGCAGGACTCCGAAAAACCTGGAGGTCTCGATGTTCAGCCGTTGGCCCAGACCGTAACCCAGAAGACCCTCTTGTTGGCTGCACCAGGAGCCACAAGCAGAACTACAGCATCATGGCTACGCCGGCTACGCCTACGGGTTGAGATTTTTGTAGCAGTTCTGACCCGGTGACCCCAGACTCGCCAGCACCAACAAAGGCACGACTCAAGGACAAAGGGCGAGTCGTACCGTCTCTACGGAACTGTCATCCTCATAGAAGACATATGAACCACCTGAGCATGTAATAAAGTGGGATACAGGACACATGCAAAGAGTGTCCTCCCCCCTTTTGACATGGCCATTGCCTTCAGAATTCTTGGCTCGGCGCATCAACCGACGAACCTGTGCTCACGCCGGTGTCTCTGGAATTATTGGAAGTGTTTTGGAAGTCTCAGTCTTTCTTCTGGTTCCACTCCGTGTGGCCCGGCTTGCGAAACTAAGCTTTCAGCACTAAGCCAGACTGCAGCCATTTCTCTCAAAGTCTTATATCATAATATGCTATAATATGGTATAATAAAAACACTACAGTATACTATATTGCTCAACGGAGGCCCAAGTGCCGCCTTGTGCTCTGTGAAAACTGGCAGGCCAACACGCGGCCTAGGCGGAGCTGCAGCGGCATTTTACCGTCGCTCAATCACAGAACGTCGGCTGTCTTCTTCGGAAATTGGAAACTGGCAGCTGCCATGAAAGTCTGAGCCATTCTGAGGCCTTAGCTTGTAGAGCAAGTGCCGCAGCTCCTTGCCCTTGCGATTCAGCACCTTGGGAGAACGGCGAGCTGAGATTCCAACATATTCCAACTCTCTTCTTGATAGACAGAGTCTGCAGGAAGTCATGGACAAAGGTACAAAACTTAATAAAACACAGACCCACGAGAAGTGTTGCATACGAAGAGTGATTATCAGAAGCCTTGGGTCTAGGGATCTGAGTCCGTGGATGGCAGGGCTGCAGAAACCAAGCTTGGCTTCGCCTCGTAACATATTAGGGTTTAGGGTTTTAGCAGATGGGACCGACATGCGTAGGTGTGGAAAACGACTACCATTGCGATGCCTGCCGCACCCGACGACACTGACCATCTTCTTGACCACTGGTCTTATGCAGTGGCTTTGTGTTGTTGTTAGTTGTTCTTGTGACCTGGATCCTTCTTATTAAAACTGCTTGTAGAGAGAGCCACGAGCCCGGGGCTGGGGCCCAAGGGTTTTGGAGCCTCAATGCTAAGAGTGCCTTAGAGGGTTTTGAGGATTTAGTAAGAGTAGGTGTTGGGTCTTGAGTTTGGGGTTTGGGGGTCCAGGAATTGGGGTTGAGGAGTCCAGTGTACGAGTTCCACGTTCAGGGTAGAAGGCTTTGGGTGGAGGCTTAAGGCTTAAGTCTTTGAGGCATTCATAAGTTCAGTCAGGCGTTTGGGACTTACAGATTTATGGCTTAAGGACACGGGTTTAGGCTAGGCTCTAGCTTAACCGCCAATCTTCGCTTCATACGTCGAAGCTGGTAGGTCTTGTAGGCACTTGAAAGTAACAGCAAAGGATGCAGATTGCAGGGAAGTTCGCGCGCGGTCCGTATGATACCAAGACTCACGAAATCCTAGTCCTAAACCCCACAGAAGCTGTGACAAAGCGAGCACTCCCACAGCCCCTGAAAGCATCATTTTGAGATTCAATTCACGTAGACACCGGCTTTTTCACACCGCGGCCGTTTGGGAGTGCTGTGGGGCTGCATCCCCACAGTGCCATCAGGAGCCAGCCACTACCCACCACTCCTCCTGAGACGTACGTCCGATGTCAACCTTTCTGACCTCTGCATTGAGGATGTTCGTCAGAGGGGCCTTTGCCAACGAACCCCCAGACGAAACAAACCTTAGTTGAACAAGGACTGGCATACACGTGGGTCCATGGGGATCTGTGCATGTATATGTGTATACATACACAGATACGTCAGGGTGTATGTATACACGCACTTATACAGCTTCATATACATACAAACATATACATGTAGATGTTTTGTATGTGCATATGTATATGTATACATGTACTTATGTGTGCATGTAGGGAGGTATGTACACGGATGGATGGATGTACGCACGTCGTGGCAGACGCATATCAAATGTAAGCTTGATAGACTCACATGCAAACTGACAATGAGCACAGACATAGACAAGGAGACACACACCGACACACACACACACCGACACACACACACGCACGCACACGCAATGCATGTATGCACATAGACGCATTCCTATGCCCTATGCGCTGACTTGCTGACTTACTTATGTACATGCCTATTTAATACTTGCTTACTTACTTGCTTGCTTGCTTACAGTACTTACCTTCCTTCCTTACCCACCTCCCTGGCTTCACACCTACCTATCATACCTATCTACGTACGTACCTATCGTACCTACCCTTATACTTCTTTATCTTCTTTATTTGCACTCATATGTGCGAATTGGCAACACACAGCGATTAGCTGCACAGACACGGACCTTAGTATAGACTGCGACATGATGCGGTGCAGCGCCCACATGGAAACTAGGGCCTAGGGCCATGAAGTCAATCTCGACACTGGACCAAAGCAATCACGCTTCACACTTCTATGGGCCTGTGCACATCAATACCTCAGTACCTGCTCCATGAACATAGTTGAGGGCACGGTAGACAAGCAGAGACTAAGAGAAAGTACAAAGACGTAAGGTATGACACCGAACCGTATATGCTACAGCCACAAAGCCGGAAACTTCCCACCATGACGATTCACCAATCTTAAACACATGAACGAACACTCAAACGCTGCCATGATCAATAACACCCGAAGAGCTGTCGTCACAAGAGGCAGTGCTGCTAGCAAGCTAGTACTGGGGAGAAGGGCGCACAATCAACCAACACGCTCTGTGATGAAAGGAGTGCTTATAACCGCTGACGGCACAAGCTGTAAGCCTTCCAAAAGAAAGGCCCTGGGTCCTGAAATCAGTCATGTCCTAAGCCCAGGACCCTTCAGTCCTGTGTTCCGCATCTTGTCAGCGACAAGAACAAAGGTACTGTGACAAGCTCGAGCACTTGAACAGACAAAAATAATATCTGCAATATTACGCACGAATATAACATAACAGGGACACGGAAGCACACAGCAAGGATGCACACTTCCGAGGTTTTGAAGCTGGTTGTACGTGTCCTGCCATAGTCTGAGCACTTTTGGCACCGCGTGTCACACTCGTCATCGCACTATCCATGCTGGGTGTGTAAACCCTTTTGTGCTTTACCACCCGGCCCGCCCACAACATCATCTTCGCCACAAGCCTATGGGAAGGGCTTGGTCCTAGCACTTTAGGGCAATATCCGCCCCCCCCGGCCTAAACGCTAAGCCCCAACTTGAATTATTGCTTTACCAGCAAAGCCAAAGGTCTGCGGAAGGAAGGCCCAGCAAGAAGCCTGGGGAAGCACCTCGCAAGGCAAAACAAAAGGGCTGGGATGTTGCTGGGTTTGGGTTCTGGGCCTTTTGGTCCGGAAGTCCCAAAGTCACCATAGGCCCCTCACCTGAGATCCTAAAACCGAAACCCTTGTCAGGCTGCAAATCGTGTCAGATTGACTGCCAACCCCAAGCTTTTCGGCCCTGAGTTGGGAGTTCAGGGCTCAGAGTTTATACGATTCAAATTCACGGGGGGGGGGGGGGGGGGGGGGGTTGACGTTCGAGCTGCCAAATTTCTTCTAGCGGGTCTTAGCAATGCTGTCAATGCCATCCGGTCTGTCTTGTGATTCCAGAAATTTCCACTGCAGGGCCAGAATGCTTGCTACACTGCTACATCTTGCTCCTGCATCCAACAGCTGTGCAGGCTGTGCAGGATGAAATTATACTCGTCGCAAGTCCCAAGTTCGTAATGGTCTAACAACCAAAGAACATCATCAGCACTGAGCCATCACTGGCGTTGCCGCGTCGAAGATCCCAGCCTCCGGGTACATCTTGCTCAGCTCGGAGTTGCAGGAGAGAGAACCCCAACGATATCCAGGTCTGCGTACAGCGGATTTCCAAGGGAGCCGCACTTTGAATTAGACCCGAAACGATGGTTTCGATGTCAAGGTTTGAAGTGAACTGTGGGACCAGGGCCCGTACGGTAGGTAGTAGGGCCAGCGGTGAAGCTTCAAGACATACGGTTCCGGGGGCATTTGGAACAAAAACAAGCCCTTCGTCCGCGTATCTGAATGTAAGTACTGGATAATAGGCAGATAACATTTCTATATAATCTACACTTATATAAACATGTGTAAAAAAAATATATATACACACACATACATACATACGATAAAAGGGTGTGTGTATATATATATATGCATATATATATATATACACTTATAATTCTCTATTTATTTAATGTGTATTTACTTATATTTATTTATACATAAGCTATGACATCCTACGTTCCAGATACAGAAGGCTGGACGCCCCTTGCTGTCAGCCCAATGGTCCAAGGATGAAGGCTAACATGGTAGGCACATTTTGAGGCATTTAGGGTTTAGGGTTTTCGGGTTTTGGGGGGTTTAGGGTTTAGGGTTTTCGGGCTTTGGTTTTTTTTGTTTTTTTGTCACCTCTTTTCCTCCTGCCCTGTTTGGTTAGTTGGAATGCCTTTGGGGGTTTAGGGTTTAGGGTTTTAGGGCTTTGGGGTTTAGGGGTTTAGGGCCTTGGGGTTCAGGGTTTAGGATTGAGGCCTGCGCCCTAAGCCCCTAAACCCTGAAGCGAATGCGTTCAAGGGTTTGGAACTCAATGGCTTGCGGCTCTACTGCTCGTGGAGTTGGCTCACGGCTGCAGGATGTCTTTCGACCTTCCGGCTTAAAGCCTCGTGCACCTGAATCGGGCAAGATTGCTTAAGCCATAGCAGTAAGCCCTATATACACCATGCAAGGAATGCTCCTTAACTCAAGCTAGGGCGGAGAATGGGCTTTCTGTTAGGGTGAGTCCAAGGAGCGCTTTGCAGATAAGTCCTCTGCAGAGACGATTTGCCCTGAGCACAGGGGGCTTTGAAAACTGCAGTAGAACCCCAAGGGGGGGGGGGGCACGATCTTATTGTAGAGGTGCCAGGGCTATGGGATTGGACCTCTAAGCTTACGGTGGCACAAAAAAAGAAGCAAACCAACACCAGCCATAGAATTTGTCAAGACGGAGAAGCTTCCGCGTTGACACTTTGATCTTAATCTCCGAGTACTCCCGAAGCAGCCATTTGTAGGGCTGCGTTTGAACCACACAGGATTCCATGGGGTCGATCTCGCTTCCGAAGAGTTGGCCGCACACGACACACTGCACAGAAGAAGCCGCGGAAGTGGAGGCCAGATCGTGCTTACAGACGAGCCCCAGGCCTGTATCGCCTTCCATAGGGATCACACAGCGCTCGGCGGAGTCGGCGATTTCAGAAACCTGCTCCTTCGTGGGGAGGCTCCCAGAAAGCTCTGAAGTGCGAAGTGCGTGAAGCACTGCCAGCCGAAGACAACCCAGGAGCAGTGGACGCAACATCTGCATCCCGCAACGGAAGCACGTCGGACCTGACATGTGTCAGAGATGGCATTTGTGTCTTCTCGAATAGTTATTATAACTATCGAAGACAAGTTTGATGCAACAAAAGATGTGCAAACGTGGAAAATCCAGAACCTTGCAACTCTGATTTCCTGATTGTTCATTACAAGCCGGGAGGCGACGGCGGAATCGCAAACAACGGCGTAGCTGTCACAAGCTCATCGCAAGCAGAAGCTTGAGACTCATGCGACAGGGCCGGTCAATCATGCGCAGGCAAGGCCAGAACGGACATGCATGCAAGCACTTCAACACACTCAAGAACAGGCATACAACTCTGAACTTATTCTGGGCATCCCCGCAAAGGTGATCTCCTTGAGGGACAGGTGCTTGTCATAGAGGAGGGGCTCAATGTATGGGCGCAGCCTGCGGAACATGCCCAATCCAAGCTCCAAAATCCTACAGCATTCACAGGCTACCCACAAGGATCAGTTCTCAAGTAGCATTCAGTTACAGCTCATGAACACAGAACCTGAAGCTTCGAAACGCCCCCAATAACGCCCAGGAGGAGCCTCTCTGCCTCCTCGTTCAGCTCCCTGCGTGCATAGCCTGGTGACACGGGACAGCTCTGGACAACAAACGGCTACCTTGCAACGTGACAAGAGACTCCAAGACATACTTTCCCTCAACTGACCCCGCCCTACGGCCCTATGCCTGAACGGGATCCCTGGCTTCCTCTGAACCTTCTGAGACAGTATGACACATGATTCAATCTGACACAAGATTACGCGAAACTCTTGCCATCTGCCGCAGATCAGTAGCGAAACGGCATTGCATCTTGTTGGCATGAACTCAACGAAGCAGGGTCCTTTGCAGCCATTTTCCTGTGCCCTGAGACCCCGACACAAGGTGCCACGACGCCTGGAGACCGGTACTCGCAATGATTTGCCGGCATCTCCAGGCCGAAGACTGGACAACAAGTGATTTTGCTACCACGCATTTTCGCATTTCTATCTTGCCATGGCAGCTGTAACTGAGATTAGGAGCTGGAACAAGTCGTGGTGGTGACGGTAGAAAGCGTCCAACTGTCGTGTTACTTGTTACCAGACTTTATAGATTACTCTAGATCCGCCTGGCTTGCTTTGCAGGTTAAGGCGAGGCCGTCAGGTTCACTAGCTTCCCATGCTTTCCCGCTCCCAAACGAGATCAATGTAGCACCGATGGCTGGTACCTTCCTTGTTCAAGCCGCCACTACAAGCACCACGAAGTGACACAGTGGCACCAGTTTCGTGATTCTTCTTCCTATCATTGGCGCGGCGAGAATTGCTCGTAAACAGGCCTTGAGCCCCGAAACTCAGAGGACCTCAGCGAGGACCCGGACTTAGGGCCCGGCTCACGCTTTGGCCTGAACTTGCGGAGAGGACGAGGGTCCAAGCCTGCTTTGCAGCTTCGTGGGCACAGGTAGGGAAGTCCGGGGGGGGGGGGGGGGGGGGTCAAAGGTGTCTGAAGCACAATCCACACTGGGGCGGAAGGTTAGGGCTCCCAGTGTGTTCAGGGTTTAGGGTTCCCGGGTTCAAGCAGCTGCTATAAGGATTGAAGCTCTATGAGGGTCCGTGAGTTCGGGATTTGGATACTACAGAGACGATAGCTCTGACTACGAAGAGGAAGCTGCCCTCCCCAGCTCTTCGCTGGAGCAACCCCCTGAAACTAGGCCAGCATACCCCCTGAAACCTGGATTCTACACACGGTGCAAATCAATCCTGCCAGCTGGCAAAAGCTTCTCATCTCCGGTTGCAAGCAAAAGCCGCAGGAAGGCAGTGAATGCGGTCGGAAATCATAGCGCAGGAAGGTGCTTGGCTTGGAGTCCAACACGAGGCTTGATCTGGATGCCTGGTCTCAATCATGGAATCTACGTCGCCAGGGGCCATGAGAAGCGACCGGATCCAGAAAGGCACGATGGGGTCCACAGTATAAAACGCACACCAGAGCGTAGACCCCGAAGCAATCCGTTTGGCTGTGGCCCAGACTGGTCTCTTCGGAGATCTCAGCGTCGCTGGGTGGGTCCTGTCGGCGGGACATTGCAACCCCTGCCAAGGCATTAAAGCATCCGGCTGACGCTGCAAGCAGAAATTATTGCTACTTTTGTTTTAAACTTGACTCTGTTGCTCTTGTGGCCGCTGATATAGTGCGTATGCGTGTCGCTGTTGGCAGCGTAGTATCGATTGCTACGCGACAGCAACCTTTAGGCTGGCAAGATCGAACTCATCCCCCAGATCATGGCCGGCCGAAAGATGCGCAACGGCATGTCCTAGATACTCATAAGCAAGTTCTTGCCGAAATGACTCTGCAGTGCACAAGCGCCGTGATGGCATTGCTCTGAAAAGGAAATGTCCATAGCCCAAGCTCGAGGCCCTTGAGCACTACCACAACCACACGAAGCATAGCTTGCCAAAATTTCCTAACAGCAATACTTCAACTCAAAGCAGGATCAGTGCCTCGAGGGCTACTCCGGATGCCTGGGAGGCTTGCTCTT